TTCAATGCCCATCTTCCTCTCAGATGCAATTGGCTTGCTGTTGAGGGATCCTGCCTGGGTCCTGTGGCCATTTTAGTCCCCAAATAACACACAAGACATTATATTAAAGACAGTGCTTTATTGACATATACACAGAAGGAATTCCCCCATCATCTCCTCTTCTCTGTCTACATAAAAAGAAAGGTATTAACTTTAACATAGTCAAATTACATATAACAGAACAGTTATCAAGCAAGAACTATAGTAACAATATTTTGTCCATTAACATTTAGTGAGATTTAAAGAAAGTATTTTATCATCTATCCTATCTGTGTGAGTCTAAAGTCTTATATGTAGCTTATCTTTTATCATAACCAAGGAAAACTATAATTGTCTTCAACTCCACCAAAGATATTGACTGTTATCATTACCATTTATAACCAATCCTATATAAATGAAAAGAAACATTTAAACAATATTTGGGAAATTGGGTGTTGTTCATTGCAAACTTATTCCTGCTGGATGGGGGCACTGTCAATGCCATGGGGATCATGACAAAATACAGAAACCTGGCCAAGTCCATGATTTTGTAGTCTGGAAGGCTGCATCATCTCAGCTGGATCACTTGGGACACTATTTCTGGGGGTCTTGCTTCATCAAACCAGAGAAGCTTGGAAAGAATCAACAGCACTCCATTTTCTGTAGGAACCCAAATAAAATATTGCTAAAGTTAAAGTGGAAACAGCCACTGGCTTACCAACATTGCAGGTATAAGTTTGCCACAAGAATTGGGAGCTGTGCTCACCACCGTAGTCTATGCTGCTAACAAGCATCATGCTGCCTGCTTGGAGATATGGTCACTGCCACTGCCAGCTGCTTTTACTCACAATTCAATTGTTAACAAGGCCTCTTAAAAGAGTCTTGTGGTTTTTCCATTTATGCTGAGTCAGGAAATCTCCTTTAAAGGAGCCATGTGATTCTCTGCATGTCTCAAGCAAAACAGAGGTCTCCTGAGAAATATTCTGCTCCCAAGAAGCTGTGATTGCCTGTTCTTTTGATTTTAAGTCCCTGAATAACACACAAGACACTATATTAATTATGGAGCTGTTGGTCATTTGTTATGGTTTCTAATTGACTATCTCTGACTTAATATATATTACTAATATATATTTTTATATGGACTTATCTTTTCAAGGACACAGCCTCATGCATCATCTTCCTGTGATCACATGGCAATGACTCACCCTTGGCTACATTTCCCAGAATCCTGTTTGACTCTTAGTCCAGCCTACCTTGCTTCCCTATTGGTCAACAGTGCTTTATTTACATATACACAGAAGGACTTCCCCCATCAATTTGCCATGAGTAGTTGTATCTCACTATCATGAAAAACCCTAAACACTTTAAATCCAATTTTCTGAAGGTCTTTGAAAGGGTTGAAGACAATCATCCATCTCAAATATATCTCTGTATTTCTAGAAAGCCCAACTAAACTAACTGTAAGTTTTGGCTATTATAGGTAAGTATCTATAATTTGTACTTAATTATACATTACATTTTTAAAAGAATTATATAAACACAATATCTAAACAAGAGGAGAAATATATATATCCCAAAATTGATCTTAAATTTGTATCAATAAATGAAAATCCATACCAATACAAAGTATTCATTTATATACCATTATCTCCCTCTTACATTTAAAAAGAGAAAGATTGATTAACCACCATTTATAACTAACCTCATTTAAATGAAAACAAAAATTTATAAACACTATTTGGGAATTTGGGCATTGTTCATTCCAAAATGCGTCATGCTGGTTGGGGGCGTTGTCGATACCATGGGGATCATGATAAAACACAGAGAACTGGCCAGGTCCTTGTTTTGTAGTCTGCACGGCTGTATCATGTCAGCTCTCTTAGATGTTAGATCACCTGAAACACCATTTTAGGGGGTCTTGCTTCATTAAACCACACTAGTATGGAAGGAATCCATAGCTTTACATTTTCTGTGGAAACACAAGTGGAAATTCTTTTCCCATGTAACCTGTCCTGATAATTAAATTTGGAAGTCAAAGTATTTTCAAAATATATAAATTGGATTAATTCGGTACCATTTCTTTTAGCAGTTGTTGCTATTTTCTCAGCAGTTAAACAATCAAAGACAACTCAATAGCATGTAGTATCCAGGCCCTCTGTACTTTTCATCTTTTCGTGAATGTCTTATTTATTTATTTATTATTATTACTCTATTTCTTTTAGTTTTATTTATTTATTTTCTCTGAGACATGGTTTCTCTGTGGAAATTCACCTCTCTTTGTCTCTGGAGTGCTGGAATTAAAGGCTTGTGCCACCATACACAGCCATTATCCTGTTTCTTTTTCTCTTCCATGCCTACGTATATTTTTAACTCACTCTAAACCTTTTAGAGGTTTTACTTTACCCGAATCTGATTTTCCTGTGAATCTTTATGTTTTTCTGGACATGTTTCTGTTTTAACTACTGTCTTTCCAAGATAGTGGGCATAAGTTTACCGCCAGCACTGGATGCACAAGTCTCTGCTTATCTCTAGCAAAACAGAGCCCATCCGAGGTAACACTGCTACCAAGAAGCCATGATTCTTTCTGTTCTTCTGTTTCTAAAATCCCTTTTAAGTTTTTGTCAAGTTTTAAGTGGAAATTCTTAGTACCCATGTTGCCGGTGCCATATGTAACATGTATTCTTTTGTACAAGCTACCTGGGTCCTGCAACTGTCTCTTCCCCCAAATAACACACAAGACACTATATTAATTTTGAAGCTGTTGGTTGTTTGCTATGGTTTCCTAATGGCTAGCTCTGACTTAATTATTAACCCATAATTACTAACATATATATTTATAAGGTCTTATCTTCCTGAAAATGCAACCTCATATGTCCTCTCTTCCAGGAATCACATGATGACTCTCTACTCTTGACTACATTTCCCAGATTTCTCCTTGACTCCTAGTAACACCTATCTTGCTTCCCTATTGGCCAACAGTGCTTTATTTCTCACCCAATCAGACAAACATATACACAGAACTTCCCCCACCAACATTCCCTTTTATTTAGACAGAAAAGAGATGATGATGGGTAATGTCCTTTTGTATGCTGTGAATATATGTTTCTCTTATTGGTTTTTGAATAAAGATGTTTCAGTCAATGGACAGGCAGATTGTAGGAAATATAGGCAGGTGGCCAGACTAGGAGGATTCTGGAAGAGGAATGCATACAGGGGCTCACAAGAAAGTCTCCATGTAGCTACTGGGAAGACAGGATGCCCGGGCATTCTCTGGTCACCCAAGGCCACGTGAAGATACATAGATTAATAGGAATGGGGTTTGACCAGATCACATTCTAAGCCCATCGAAGGCATCTTTGGAGCTATCCCATACTCTCACTTATTAGAAAAAGAAGGCAGAAAAACCAAGAGTTTTCTTTGAGAGGTAGCTTTAGGGCCATGAAACACATACTAATGCTAAGACAATTAATTGTGATTTCCCATGGAGAAATCCCTATGTATGCTTGAAAATGTCTTATTTTTTTCCTGAGTGTTTTTCACAATAAACCACCAACTGTATTTCATGCTAGTTAGTTCTGAAATTCTTTTCTCCATCAAAGTCTCTAATCCTGGGGTTGTCTAAATGGAGATCCCAGAAGTCAAAGGGAACTCCTTGGATAGCAGGAAGTGACAGTGTATGGAGCAGGGTGTCTGTCTTCTTACCCCTGGCAATGCCATGAAGTATTGATTACTTTCCTCATCACAGTGATTGCCCTAGCCTGAAACCCCAGCCTCTTGGTTTCATTTGATGACCTCTTAGTGTTTTCATTTTTTGATATCCTTCAGAATCCTTGGAGTTTACTTTTAGTGGTACCAAGCATGTACTAATGATCCTTCAGTTGCCTTGTACAAATTCCTTTTCTGAAGGGCAGTCCTGGGTATCCAACTGCCTGTTCTTGATTTTTATATAGATGGCTTACAGGGATGCAAATGCTTACACCAGACCTCACCATCCTGTACCTTTTTTTCTTTCTCCTACTACTTTTTTTTCTCCCAAAGATGCTCATTCCTTCACAATTCCCTGGGATTCAGGTACATAAGAAGTCTGCGTACTATAGCTGGTTCTGCCACTAATCCTCAATCTGTCACATAAGTTCTTTGATTCCTCCTCTCAAAGGCTGTCATGGCTACTAGTTCTTCTTTCTCTAGAAGTAATTCTGATCCATGCTATCATTCTCCTTTTAAAGGTAGAACTACCAGATTTGTTTTTTATTTAGCCTTGCTCTAATATACCTCTCATTCTCCCCCCCCACCCCTGTGTGTGATTCTTCTTTCCCTTTAAAAATGTCATGTAAAGCAGTTCTTTAGTTGTCATTTAAGGCTAAACCTACAGTCATACCTCAGGTCAAAACAAACACATTACATACAATGGTAAAAAGCAACACCTGGAAGACTATTGTGAACATCACTCAGAGATACTTGAGAAACATCTAGAAGGAAGCCACAGCAAATTACCAGCTGCAAGGCTTTATTCTCAGAAATGTAGTTTGATGTGCATATCTTTTTGTAGACTATTTAGCTGGCCCAAAATCTAACTTGTTAATTTTTCTTAAATTCTAAGTATATCCAAGATTCAAATGTCATATCTCTCTTTTCTCCTAGAAGGATGATTGCTGACTATAGTTTTTTTTCTGTCTATACACTACATTATTAGTTCTCCCAGTTGCCACTGTTCTATGTATTTCTTAATGTTTTGTTTTTTAATTGTTTTTTTTTATAAAATCAAGCATATTGCAAATATAATACAGGTTGTGGACTCCATAACTAAATTATTGAGAACTTTCTAAAGTGGTTTCTTTGAATAAGAACAAAGATATCTAGTTACAGAGAGTGTAGTATTTCAGGTAAGGAGGAAAGCATTATACAAATCAATGAAAAAAATCTGATTCAAATTTGTATTTTAATATATTTGACTATATTTTTTCAATCACTATTTCAGGGGGAAATTTAAGCCACGCCAGTGATTTAGGCATAGTGACCATTTGGATTAGAATTTTAAAATTCTTTTAAAATACTTTTGAATAAAAATTTATGAGACTGTATTCATAAACATATCTTTATGGATTAGGAGTGGGATTAAAGTTAAATAAAAGACAAGTACCCAGGATTTAGAATTTCCTCAAGTATCTGTGAAGCACTACCCAGAGGAAGGATTTCTGATCAAAGCTGAAATGATTAAGAAAAAGGAAAGAAGATGAAGATCCATGCACGTTTGATTCAGAGCTGACCAGCAAAGCAAAGCCATAGAAGTTGGATCCCTTTCTTCTGTAAGGCTGATTGCCAGACTGGATCAAATGTATATGATACTGGTAACAGCAGGATTCACCACTGGAATACTGGGGAATATGTTCATTGGATTGATAAACTGCTCTGACTGGGTCAAGAACCAGAAAATCACCTTCGTCAACTTCATCCTGATCTGCTTGGCAGTTTCCAGAATCAGCTCTCTGCTTGTGGTGTTTACTGATGCAGTCATACTACAAGTAGATCCTCATGCCTATCATTCTTACAGTCTAATACAATGTTCTGACATATTATGGGTTGTGACTGATCAACTGTCTACATGGTTTGCCACCTGCCTCAGCATTTTCTACTTCCTCAAAATTGCCCACTTCTCTCACCCACTTTTCCTCTGGTTGAAGTGGAGAATGAGAATTGTGGTTGTTGTTTTTCTTGTATTTTCTTTGTTCTTACTGATTTTTTATTTTCTACTGCTTGAAACACTTCCTATTTTGAGGGAAATTCACATGATCATTGAAAGCAATCTGACTTTATTTCCAGACACAACTAAGGCTATTGCTGTTAAAAGCCTAATTGCTTTTGACCTGATGTACTTGGTCCCATTTCTTGTGTCCCTGGCATCATTGTTCCTTTTATTTTTGTCCTTGGTGAAACACTCCAGAAACCTCAACCTCATTTCCACCAGCTTTGAAGACTCTAGAACCAAGGTCCACAAGAAGGCTATGAAAATGCTATTGTCTTTCCTCATTCTCTTTATGCTTCACATTTTTTTCATGCAGCTGGCACGCTGGTTATTTATTTTTTTCCCAACCAGCAGGTCAACTAATTTTGTTTTGATAACATTAATTATCTTTCCATTAAGTCATTCATTTATTCTGATCCTGGGGAATAGCAAGCTTCGGCATACAGCATTGAGGGCCCTTCAGCATGCTAAAAGTCAGTTGCAAGAGATGATCCTCTCCTTTCATAGATTTTCTGGAATCTTTACTAAGTGAGTAAGTAAATGGGAAACCTCATAAGGTTTTAATCTCCTATCAACATTTCGTGTCAGTACTTAAAAGAACACAGCAGACGACTAAGTGAACATACATGAAAGGCTCCTTAAGCATCTTGTTTTTATGATAATTGGCACACGGGCTAGAAAACACAAATCTATCTTTTTCGTTGTCTATTTACAGCACTGGTAATCAAAACTAATAGTCTCAAACATTTTAACAGGAATCAAAGAGTTAATTTCACAGGCAAGAAGTCATTATAATTCACAAGGTAGGTTCACAAAAATCTAATATCAAGGTAGCTTGTAAACCTAAACAGGCAGACGATACGCGAAATGTTGATAGGAAATTTTAAAAAAATCTAAAATTAGAGAGAAAAACATCACTTCACAGCTTAGATTATTTTTAGTTTTCCTTTCATGTTTTTAGATTTATTTGTGTGTATGAGTATTTTGTCTGCATGTGTTCCTGTGCATCACATGTATGCCTGGTGTGCATTTGGGTCAGAAGATGGTATTGAATTCCCAGGAACTAGAGTTACAGGTCAGTGTGAGTGACTATGTGAGTTCTGGGAAGTAAACCTGGGTCTTGTGCTAGACAAGTGGTCTTAATTGCTGAGCCATCTTTCTAGCCCCAACAGTTTGGATGACCTGTATCTGTATGGAAGGTATATGGAACAGTTTGAATACTTAAGTGTTAGTTTTTTGAAATAGTAACTTGCTATATAGACCAGGCTGGTTTGTTCTAGAATTAAAGACTTGCACTACCATGTCTCATTTCTCATTTTTCTTAAATGAAAAAAGCATATCTTTGTTATTAAAGCATTGTTGATACTCATGGAATAAGGTGATTATATGAGAACAGGAGGAACCTTAGAAGTATTATAAATATTTTTTCTGATTCTACACCTTTTCTAATTTTTCTTAATTCTAGAGCAGCATGTAATACACAGGCAGTATATTCACAGTGGCAGAAATCAGTATGTCTATCGTGTTATGGTCTTGTTATGGTCTCCCAAAAATAAAATTAACCTTTACTTCAGAATCACATGTTGCTACTACAAGATAGCAAGTCTGGGAATGACAATGTATCTGTTCACTCATTTCATTTCAATCTGATCACCACAGTTCTTAGCACAAGACACAGATATTAGATGAAGAGGGCAAAGTTTATAATAAATGTCAAGTTTAATGGGGACTGTGGATGTATGGTTGTATTTACAAAGCTGTAATTTAAGTGTAGATACGATAGCTGTAAATTCCAAATGAAGCAGTGGGGGAAGTTTACTATAATGTTTGCACTGTGATAGTAGGAATTATAACATTGTACAGATTCTAGACATTACACACAGTATACTAGGCATTATATTTGTTTATATAGTCATAAGGTAAAACAAGCTGCAACGAAATGATGATACACACTTACTGGTTTGGCTTGGTGGAATTATAAGTAAGGTAATGGTATAGAACTATTCATATTTTCTACGCAAGTACATCTGAGTTGTGTTGTTCTTCTACTAATAGATGGCAAGAATGACGTTGATGATGTCTTTAATGATAACATGGCATATATTTATTAATAATCTGCATTTTATAAAACAAAACGTTCTTCAGTAATTACATTTTAATTATCTTGCATTGAAAATGTAAAGTGTAAAATCAGCCTTAGATGTTGATGTTGTTCTTATTTTGAAGAATTTATTTTATTTAGTATTTAGTGTTACTGGAATATGGTAATTAAGAGAAGCTAATTAAGTAAATTTGTGAGCAACTTTTGATTATAGTGAAGTGGTTTTTGTGGTAAATGAGCTACTGTACATCTAGAGTAACCTACACGTAAGCAAACTTTAGGAGAGAGAAATATAAAGAATGGGATCTTATTCTTGACAGTAGAAGAATGTCAAAATATCAGTACATGAATCCCAGACCACAGGCTAGGTTATTTCAGTGAATAGTTTGTAATCCACATGTTTGAATGTCAATTGAACTCAAGCCCTGTGCCACCACTGTCTCCATCTGCCTCCATCCTCCCTGTCTCTCAGCAGCATAAGACCGTCTGCCAAAACATGCAACCCCAGGCTAATGCATGCAACCTGGAATGATTAAATAAATGTTGGGGAAACAGGGAACTCACTACTTCTTTTTCACTACTAACCTGTTACCTGACAAATAAATGTTCATTTTGAAAAATTTTTTGCAATGATTTCTTCTTTCCATTCACAGAGGTAGACTGTTGACAGGTGAGGAATAACTGAGTCTGGGAATGAAACTGGCTAAACTCTGAGGCCAAGTTCTAAAGGTATCAGGTACATCAAGGCATGCTTTCTTATTTCTGGAAACATATACCAGATAAAAACCTGTATCTATACTGACTACCAAGAATGGTTTACACATGAGTCTCAGGTGGGTCATATGCTACTTTTTGGGTAACTTCTAGCAAAATCTCACTAGACCATTTTAATGGTTGTTCACATTATGACAAAGTCCTTCCAAATTCTCTCACCTTAGACAACAGGTAATATGCTGCCCATCTATGATATTCACAAGAAAAAATACATGAAATTTTGTTAAAAGCATTTGGTACACCAAATCTCATTTTAGAGCTTCTCTAGTTATTTTCTGGTGTGTGTGTGTGTGTGTGTGTGTGTGTGTGTGTGTGTGTGTGTTATAAAACAACTAATATACTCTCTGAGACTAAGGAGATGCCTAGCCACTCTCATTCTAAACCTAAACTCTGGTCCTTGCCTGCCCTTCTAACATAGGTTAGCTCTACCTTACGTTTGTTGTGAGGAAGACCCGGGGAAGGGTATTTTCCTCTATCTTAATTTTGTTTCTCCTTTTCTGTGATAAAATACTCTGGTGAAAGAACTAAAGCCTCTTATTTTACATCACAGTTCAAGGCATAGTCAGTCCATCATGGCAGGAAAAACAAGTGGCAGGAGTTTGAAGTAGGCAGTCACATCACACCCACAAGCGGGAAACAGCTGAATTCAGTTGTTGTTCAGCTCCCTTCTTCCATGCACAGTCCAGGATCCCCTGTCTAGGGAATGGTCTTACCCACAACTAAGATAGTTATTCCCACATCAATTAATATCAAGATAAGACCCACAGCCACACCCATAGGCCCATCTCGTAGAGGATACTAGATCTGTCAAGTGGACAATTAACACTAACCATCCACATTCTCTGAGAACTGTGAGGAACAACTGTAGTCCTTTGTTTTGTAAATGAGGGTGATACATGTGACACTTTACCTTTTGGTTCTGGTCTCTGGCTCTTTGGGTTAGCATTTTCCCTTAAATATTAAGATCTCTTACAACTAAAAAGCTCCAAAAGGCTTTAATTTAGTGTCTATCAAAGGAAAAGGTGGCAAGGTCAGTGTCTTAGAGCTATAACAGAAGTGGGCATATTTATTTACTCATGAATATCTTGCAATTAATGGGACATGAGAGTGTCACAGGTTGGGTACACTTGCCACTGGGCACTGTTGGCCACAGAGCTCATTGGGAGTCTTACAGATGTGTGCTGAGGTGGTGGGGGAGACAGAAAAGGGCAAATCATTTCACTTGAATATCACACACACACCAGTGATTTAAAAGGTTATGTGATTTAAATGGAATGAAATATGTTAGTGAGAAAAGGTGGTAAGTCATTCACAAATGCAACAGTTTTTTTGTGACAATTGTTTTAAATTTCTTATTGTTTTGTATTAATTAGATCAGAGTGAATTTCCATAAGCACTTTTCACTATTCCTTGGTGAGAAATGCTATTTATTTTTAGCCTAGTACACCATGAAATCAATGATGATCTTTCTCTGATTTTTAAATTCTATTTTCATGTGTATATTTCCCTGCATGTGTGTATGTGCAACATGTATATTCCTGGTGCCTGTGGAGGCTAGAAGAGGGATCAGTACCCCTGGAACTGGGGTGAGAGATACTTGTGAACCACTATGTGCTACTGAGATCAGAACCTTGTGTCTCTGCAAGAGTAGCAAGTGCTCTTAACTGCTGAATCATCTCTACAGCCAAGTTTTCTGATTTTAACTATAGCTATCATTAGATGCTTAGACTACTTTGGATTGCAACTACAGCATAGAGATTAATCAAGTTACCTGTAGAAACATTTTATAATACACATTATATTTATACAGTAACAATTTCTGCAGCATATATAGCTCAACCATTTAAAGAAATTATGAAAGGTGGCTCAGCATATGATCATAAATAATATCTGTAGTTATATAAACTTTTCAAAAATGCAAATATCCCCTTGCATTTTCATATACTCATAGTTTATGACAGACAATATATTATTATTCTGTATGTTTTCTTCATAGAGTTTCCTCTTTAATGTACTTTTGAACATAAATGTTCTTCAGTGAGTATCACTAGACTTGTTTTCTTATTTTTTTTAATATAACTTCCATGTTTTGGTCACTTTTAAACCATGCCTACCAATAACTCTGTTTCTGGTGGCCTTTATATAACCTTTGGAGTATTTCTCAAGCACTAGTAACTTCTAGGTCTCTTGATTTCCATACCATGAAATCTAGGATTATCTAGCTCTTTCCAATTCTGGAACCAGAAAGAATTCCTTTGCATGTGGGCCTGACAGGTGCTTTAAGGTACCCATTAATAAACTCTCAGAATACTGACAGTGTGCTCCACACTAATGAAGTAACATGTGCTGGGGAAGCTCAAAGGAAATGCACATTGAGAAAGGCTCTCATCACATGGCTCAGGATAGCCCATCATTCACTACATAACTTCTGCGGGGCTCAAACTGAAAATCTTCCTGACTCAGCCTTTTGAGTAGTAGAATTGCAGCATGTAATGACATGCCTAATATTTTTCTAAAGCTCTCAAATTAATTATAGCCTGCAGTCAAGATAGAGGCTGATTATACTAGAAACTTAAACTTATAGAATCTTTTGTATGGTGAATTAACATTTATGATACAAGATAGGAATTAATCAAAAGAAGAATATCAGTTATTCTCCACCTCATCTTGACAGATATGTTTAAAAAATCATGAAAGGAAGGAAAGAATGTAAAAGGTAGGGTGAGGAAGAGTGCTATGAATTGCAAACTTTTAGATATGACTTGACTACTGTACACATGAACTGTGATTAATTACATTAGAGCAGCACAAGATCAAGCCAGTTCAAAGATTCCATCATGGAGTAAGGAGGGGATCCTGAGGCTAAACGCCCAGCTGAGGAGTCACAGGCAGAAAGCTATTATCACTTTTTCTTCAGGAATGTGGATGACCCAACACCCATGCATATATGGGTAACACGAATTGGACTCAACTGATTAAAAAATTGACTAAAAGGAGGATATCAAATAGGGAAGATGTGAGATGGGCAGGAGGCAGCTAGAGGTTCAACACCAAGTATAATGTCCACCTTATTGCTAAAGATAGTGACGTTCAATATCTTGGAACTTGCCAAGTAGGCTAGGGTGGCTGTCCAGAGATCCCCAGGGATCTCTTTCTGCCTCTCCTTAGCACTGTGGCTGCAAGCATACTACCAAGCATGGATTATTATGAAGGCTCTGACGACCAAACTTAGGTCAAGCTTTTACAAAATGTACTTTACTAGCTGAATGTTTCTAGCTCTTTCTGCAGTCACTCTTTTTCTGTTCTATTACAGCTGGATTTTTCTGATACTTTAACACATCAGGTACATTTCTTTATCAATTAAACAATGACGACTTTTCTCTTCAAAGTACTCATTTAGACTAAACTTTTGGCAACAGGCAGCTTACGCAAACAGCCTTGCGACTCTTGTGACATCTAAAATGCCACCTGGCAAGAGTAACGCCTGCTGGTACATGTCAGGAGGATCATGAGTTCTAAGCTAGCCTGGGATACACAGCAAATTCCTGAACAACCCTATTAAAAACAAAAGAAAACCAAAGAAAAAGTAGAGGAAGAAAAATCACAAACAAAATACAACAACAAAAGAAAAGTAAAAGCTTTAGGTTCACATGCTTTTCTTCATGCTTTCCTAGAATTAAACTGAGGAAACATTCAATTTCCTTTTAATATTTTTTTTTTTTTTGGTTTTATGAGACAGGGTTTCCCTGTATTATTTTGGAGGCTGTCGGTCCAGCCTAGCCTCGAACTCACAGAGATCTGCCTGCCTCTGTCTACCGAGTGCTGGGATTAAAGGCATGTGCCACCACCTCCCGGCCAATATTTTGTTCTTAATCACTGGACTCTTGCTTTCGTGTCTTTGGGACAGATTTTTCATTATGTGGCCTAGGCTGCTCTTGAACACATGATGTCCCAACTCAAACTCCTGAGTACTGGGATCATAGCTGTGAACAACTATGTCTGGCTCTCACTGGATCTTTTCAAATATCTTTGAATATCAGATTTTCCCAGAAGAGTCTGGAAGCTGGCAATTTGCTCACAAAGCTAGCAGAGGGGTTTTAAAACAGCATGCACTATCTTCACATGTGCTCATCATGAGGAAATAACGGAGACAATTCCACTTCCATGTCACGCCTACAACAGTGTATATTCATCTCACATGCATTTAAAAAGAATACAATCACATTTATACATGAGGAAAATCACAAATAAGATGAAAATTACTTCCCAGCTAGAGTTGGTGGAATACTTCTATATTAATATATATTATCAAGCACTAACCATGTTCTGCATGTTTTAGAATTTCAATCCCATCAGATTTCCATGTCATTTAACCTGTGGTAGACATGATTACCTAGGGAGTTTTTAAAAATGAGATATTTTAAATTAGATTTCAATTGAAAATCATATACATGATTAAAAGTGAATCACATATTTCCTCTCCCTAGTCCCATTTCTTTTTTCAGAAATAACTATTTTAACTCTTAGATGTGTCTGCATTGATTTTCCTCATCATTGTTTATGCTGCTTTTTATATTTAGATCTTTTTTGTAGTGTTGGGGATCAAACTTTGAGTCACATACATGGTAGGCAATACTCTACAACTAAACCTTATGTTCAGTCCTCTGTAACAGTTCTTGATGGACTTTCCATATATATATATATATATATATATATGTGTGTGTGTGTGTGTGTGTGTGTATGGAACATTCCTTCCTCTTCAAGCTCCCCAATGTTACATAATCATTTCTTGTTAAGCAAGCACTTAAATTACAAGTACAGTATTAGTCACATGAGGTACAGCAGCATAATTTTTGAATATTTCTCATGGGGTTTATAATGACTTCAGTTTTAATTTCAAAATAAAATGTAAGTACTAACCCCGCATTTGGGGAAAGCTCTAGCATACATTCACATATACCAGGAATTCAATCTTTTTTGGACATTCACACCACTCCATCTTTAGGCATTTCCTGTTTACTTCATGAGGTTACTTCATCCATTTAGCAGGTATTAAACTTTAGGCTGTCCATAATCCACAGAACATCCTTATCATTCCCAACAATGTATACATTTCCATCCCTCCCACTCCAGGAGGGCACCACCAATCCATGCACTTTCTTGTCCTTCCACTTGTCAACTGTATTTTCACAACAAGGTTTGTAACATCTGCATTTTACTGTGTAACCAAAATTAAGTATTCCCTTTAAAGAAGGAAGCCACATTTGGTCCATTTGCATTCCTATCAGAGAATAGTCAATTCTTTCGCCATGACTGGACTTTTCTTTGGCTCCAATGTGTCTTTGACAGGGACATCTTCACACACGCCCACCATTCGTTCAAAGTCGTTGTGTCACATTTGGCATTGGGGACAAGCTTTCCTGCAGTCTGGCTTTGACACACAGTTTCAATGTCTCCTCTTGAGGAAGGAAGAGACACACGCTTTTCAGGTCCCATTCACGACATAAGAGGCCTCTGAATGATTAGCTCTCAGTCCAGAATTTCTCACAGTCCAATATTCTCAAAGACTGATTCGGAACATAAGCTGTATGTAAATATGAGTTCTTGAAAAACTTATAAGTTTTCCTTCCTCATAACGCAGCCCGTGCCCTTTGTCACATCCTAAGGCTGTCCAGGGATTTACAGATGTGTACTCTTTAGGTACTTCCTTGGGCCTCAGTCTCTCTGTTGCTGGGTCATCCTGGCTCTAACAGCCTCGGCAAGCTTTCCCACCTCCAAACCCCGGGGAGGGGCTGCTGGGAGCCGACGGTCCGCGCGTGCGCGCGCGCTCTCTCGCAAGTCTGCGCGTTCTTCCCGGGCATCTCGGCAGGGCCGCGCGCGCGGGGCGGCCTGGGAGGCGGCCATGTCCCGGGTCCCCGGAGGCCGGCCACGCAGGCGCGGCTCTAAATGTGTACCTGCAGGCGGATGTTGAGGAGCACGGAGCCCGCGATGTAGAAGTACGGGAAGTTCATGCGCAGCTGCCAGGCCAGCTCGAAGAAGGCGAGCAGCGTCCGGGAGAGCCCCTTGCAGAAGACACCGTACGGGGTGGCGGCCGCGGGGCCCACAGCCCTGAGCGCCAGGGCGGACGGGACGGCGGCGGGGGCCATGGCGTTGTCCCGCCCGGCCGGGGGTCTCCGCTGCTCCGCGCGCTCCCGAGCAAGGCCGGGCGCTGGCCCACTCGGCGACCCGGCTTCCCGCTGCCTCCTGCGCGGGCCGCGGCCTCAGCGCCCTCCGGCCGCTCCCTCCCCGGTGGCGCGGGGCTGCGTGCGCTCCGCCCCTTCCTGTCCGCCTCCCCGGGGAAGGTCCGCCGTGCCGCAGGCCGTTATGTAACCTGTGAGGGGACGGCTGCGCAGAGATCGCTGTCGCTTTAAAGGAACTGGCTCAGCAAAGCTGATAGTTCAGCCCGCGGCGCACAGTTTTCAAGGGTCAAAGGTGTATTGCAACGAGTTTGTCCGCTTTGTGATGGATTCTGTTAGGTTTACGGTGACGCGGAGGCAAGGTGACCACCTCACCACCGCGGATACAGGCAGAAGAGTCTGCGTTTGTAACGAACGCTGTAACTGTGGAAAGTTCATCATTATTAAGTTATGGATTTACCTGTGTGTTAGGACTGTTTAGATTGCAAATGACAAGCAAACATACATATGTCCTTTTTGTTCAGGATGTGTGTGAGTGTGTATATATGGGTGTGTCTCCCCTTAATATAAACCCATAAAAAATTCAGATTAGTATAGAATCCAGCTTTTTGCATGGAAATGCGCTGGTGAAAAACCCAAGTAGCTCTAGGAACGAGAGCACTACTTTTATCTATTTCCATTTCTTAGCATCCTTATAGAAGTGAGTCTCCATTAGTCACAATGGTTTTCTTTTCTCTTTTTTTTTTCATTTATATGATGCACTTTTTTTTAGTAATTCCCCCATTTAGCTGCATGTGTGCATACAGCATGTATTTAGTCGCTGATCATGACTTTCGAATACAGTGTAGTTTTACATATCACTGTTAAAAATGCTCCATATCTAACCCTAAACTGCATATATGTGTTACATATTCAAAGCCTCCCTGTGCTCTAAAAGTGTCAGGTCGAAAGGACACCCCAACTCCCCAGACTTCTAAGGGAAGTCCAAATATCCAAAAATGAACTCAACCTGAACTGTAGGAAGATTTCTGGTGGTTACATAAAAGCCAGCATCCCTCCAGGAACTTGTGAAGTGGGTTCCTGTCTGCCAAAAGGGTCATTTCCCTTACCTCTCACCAATAGGACATTTGGCTTCCTTTGTAACATATAATTTGTGGGCCCTATCCTTAGCCACAGGATCCCTCAGTCTCTACTTACAGCACTTACTATACAATTCAAAGCCTACATGACCATCTTGTAGCCATTCCCTCACTCCAGCTACTCTTTCAAAACCTTACATCCAATACTTCTTAAATTATTAAGAAGAAAGGAAGAAAGTAAAACAGCAAGAGAGAAAAAAAGGAAACACAGTAGCACTCCCAAACTTTTTCGACAAAACCAATATTACTCTAATACAGAGCCAGGTAAGGACACATCAAATAAAGAAAATTGCAGGCCACTATCCATGATGAACACATGCTATAGTACTAACAACGAAGTTTGATATAGCGAAAAGATCGTCTGCCACAACCAAGTTGGGTTTATTCTGGAGATGCAGGAATAATTGAGTACGCATAAGTCAATAGTGTAATAAATCATATCAATGGAAATAAAGACAATCACAAAATCCTCCCGCAAGATGTAGAAAAGGCCTTTGACAAAGCCCAACATGTCTTCATGATAAAAGTCCTGGGGAGAAATGCAGGGGAAGGAAGTGCATGCGCATGCAGCAATGTGAGTAAATTCCATCAGCATAGTGCTGGCAGGGATGCTTAGGTGAGAAGATAGACCTAGAAGCTAGGCGTCAGTGGTACAACCCGTAACCACAGCGCTTCGGAAGCTGCGGCAGGAGGATTGCTACGAGTTTGGGTTAGAAATCTTTGCCAATTAGAAGTTTATAAAGGTTATAAGAATATTATCACTTATGTAGAGTTATTATTACCCTTTTGCATTTAGGTTTGTGACAGAACTCAACATTTTGTTTGGTGTGGAAATTGAAGTTCATTTTTTCATATTGTTTTTCAGTGCCATTTATTGAAGAGAATTTTGCTTTCAATTTAGTATGTTTGTTGTTTTCCTTGAAAGTGTGTGGACTGCATAAGTGAGTCTGTCACTAGACACTTTATTCTAATTTTTGGTTCATTTATAGAAGCAAGTTTAACTACTGTGTTTCTACAGTGTTGAAATCACAGGAAAAGTTTAAATCTTGATGCTGTGAATTATATATTTTTAAAAAGTAATTATATTAAAACCAAATGGATCCAAACCAATAACTTTACCAAAGTTCTAAACATGAGGAATATTTCTGATAGACATTGATAAAAGATTGAAAAACCTGAATGGTATGAAAGGGGCTTTAAACTTTGGTTATCTACAAGAGACACTCATTTCTGATAATAGGACAGTGATTCTTCTTTGAGGCGTGAATGCAGCTGCGTATAAGTACACAAGTACACACGTTTAAACATAGTTACACACAGTTACTAGCTGTTAAAGGAAGGAGTATTAGTTTCCCTGGGGTTCCCAAGAGACTCTGAATACTCTACTTCTTGAATCCAACATTTTCTTAACAGAAAACTAAAGTTGTTTAACATAAATAATGGAGAAAATGGTTACAAATGTTGAAACAGAATATATCCTTATTTACATGCTAGCAAACAAGAATGCAGCTTCAACCCAAAGTCAACCGTGAAGTCTATAGGAGGGACATGAGTATATGAACAACACTTAATTTGAGCAGTTATAAGAATGTACTGTTTGTAGAAATATAGGATTGAGTTCACCTATTAACCCTGTGATGCTGTTTGCTTGACATTGCTCAAGGAATTGTAAAGATTGACTTCACTATACATCCACAGTTCAAAGGCACATATCAAGTAGATATACTAAAGGGGGAGGCAGGGAAGATGACTTAGCTGGTAAGAGCACAACCACAGAGATCTAAGTTCAAATCCACAGAACTCGTAAAATCAAGGCATGATCATATGTGTCTGTAGCAGCAGTGCTGTGGAGGATGGGAAGTGGAGAAAGGAGGATCACTGATGCCTACTAGGCACCAGCTTTGCTTCAGGATCATTGAGAGATCCTAGCTCAAGGAAATAGGTTAGAGTGATAGATGAAGACACCTGACACCCTCCTCTGGTCTTTGCTTTGTGGGGTGTGTACAGAATCGCACATGAGTGTGAACATAACTACACATATACATCCTCACACACAAGGTTGCTAGTTTTGGCTTTATTTTTATGGTTGTAAGCACAGAAAAGTCTGCTCAGGTGAGTGAGTATGAAAGCAGTGTAACTGGAAAGACCAGAGTGAAGGACATGACAGCTTTCAAGTGTGACTGTCCTCACTGTAGACACTTCACAGTCTGCACTGTATCACTGCTCCGTGCTCTGGGGCTAATCCACTTCCTGTGCAAGAAGCCAGGAAGATACGGCTTCATAGACAGGATGACAACAGCCCAGCATATAGTCCACATGAAGGTGCCTACAAACTGTGAGCTCCTGTTGCTTTAAATTGGAGTGATAAGAAATCATTATTATGTAAAAGTAAAAGCAGATCATTTCAGTAACAGAATTATTCACGTTCGTCATCTCCTCAAATACATAAAAAGAGTCTTAGGAGGGAAAATTATGTCAGTTATGTGTCCTGATTATTTTTAGCACCTAAAAATGAAAACAAAATAGTTGTCAAAATATTTTAAAGAATTAATAAATGGATGAATAAATGAGTGAATTATGTGAAGGTTGGCAAGATGACAATAAATAAAACACATAAAATCTGCATGTAGCATGAATTTTTTGATTCTGTTTTTATTTGGTTCATTTTTAGGTTACAAAATACAAACAAGCATTTCTTGAGCAAAAGACTGGTTACTGTACAATTTTAAGCAAAATATTAGTAGATTATTAAAATGCCAGAAGTATGAACTGCAGCATATGAGAACTCCAAAGTAGATGACGTTTGTGACAATATGGTAGTTTTTGAAAACCATGAAAAACATTTTAATAAAATCACATTATTTTTTTGACTGTAGATGATGTTACTTTCATTCCATTTTCTTATTACTTATTTTTATAAGAAAAATGCCATCTAACATAAAATCTAGTTAGTAAGAAGATTCCTTTCCTTATTTTTTATTTTTATAGCTGTTGGATTAAACCCAGGGTCTTGTGCATGACTGACAAGTGAGCTAAATGAAATCCTACCAGCACCCTTTTTCAGTTGTTACTTTCGTACATTTTTTCCTCCTAACATTTATAAACTCTTCAAGTGTGCATATTGTAAGCATATAGAAACTAAGCAATAAAATATATAATTCAGTGGATTTATTTTCCTGCAATCATGCAGTTCCTTAATGGCCATGTATAAAATCATATGTCTTAATGTTCCATTACATCAAAATGGAAGGATAACCTTGATGATACAACCTTAATAGAAAACAAGACATCTGAGGACCCACACAGATTCACTCATGGACTGTGTCACTCAAACAGTGAATTTATAAATACATGACTCATGTCTTTGCTGAGTACCCTGGGCTAGGGATGGGATCCTATGCTTGCTCTGTAGCTCTTTTTTTCTTCCTGTTTTTTTTTTGTTGTTAATTTGTCTTTTGAATATGGGATACCCCTCTTATGAAGGAGTCCCTTGTATCAATTCAGTAGGAGTTTGGGCTTTCCTTTTCCTACAACTGTCAGAGACTTGTACAACAATCTTGCCATTATTAATACAATTGCTGTTTTGAACAAAACAACTTGGACAACAGACTGCAGCAGCTACAGCTATTCAAGTGGAACATCAAATGTTTCCTCTCCAGAGTGGAAGGTGAGAGGGACTTAGGGAAACTCCTGGGGTGATGTTACTCCCTCCCATGGATATAAGCTCTGTCTGTCACTTTTCCTAAAGGTCTTGAAGTTCTTGTACTAGCACACAATTCACAGAGCCCCACCCACTATGTGTTTTGCATTTCTCTTTGTCTTCTTTCAACTTTTTGTTATACAGAGAGAAAGAGCTATCCTACAAAGACCTTTTTGTGTTCAGGTGTGTTAAGATTTCTGTTCTTAGAAATTTTGCCTAGAACTTTTCGTATGCTGTTCTATATTCCCTGTATGTTTTACTCCATAAGATAATTGTGTTAATTGTGTCTCACTTTCTTTGCTTAGTGTTGCTTCAGGTGCCAGTTGTAATCTGTCTTACACATGCAATAACCTGTGGCTTTTCATTCAATCTAAATATTTTTGTTGGTCTTACTCTGATAGAATGTCTCATCAACTAGCCTAGTTTCCTTCAGTATACCAGTGTGCATCATTATACCAAGTTTACTAAAGTTTTTGGTACATGTTTTTCTGCTGCCTGATTTTGATACTTCTTTTCTGTGTTATTTTTTTCTTTGACTATATGTTAGTTCTTGAACAATGTTGTCACTCATTGCTCTATTCCCTTTTTGCTTAGTATGTATATTGTCTTTCATATTCCTTGATGGCTACAGTAACATTACAGGACAGATGTTGGGAAACGAATAGTGTTTAATGCTCATATTGGTGTACGAATCAGATGCATCAACCAAGGGATGATACGTAGAGAATGAAGAGGATTCTTGTGCAAATGAATTTATATAAGTTTAATATCTGCTTTACAATAGAATAGGAATTTTTTCAAGTTTATTTGTATGTATGAATGAGATAGTCACAACTTTTTAGAATATTTACATTACTACAGCATCAATTACAAATGAAAGCAATTTTATACCATCTCCTAACAACTGTCATATAACTAAGTGAAACCTAAATTATTGAGGTAAAAAATGAAAGGGGTCGTGATGTAAATAAATTCATACTTATGAACTAGTACATATGTATAAAATTATTAGTCTTCTCAGTTCCACGAATTTGAGGAATATCTAACTATGTAAGGTTATTATGTAACTGTTTAGTTGTAGGAAAATGTGTGTAGGTGCCTATACTGGCATCCTTTGGAATATTTAATGAAATTCATACCTTATGCAAAATTTAAGATAATATTTGTGAGTGAGAATTTAAAAAATGTGCTTGTCAGAAATTAAATGGTTAAAACTTAATATGCAAACAGTTAAAATAGTGCAAATACATGTATTTATTTTGATGTCAGCCCATGAGAATTCTGTTTTCTCCAGGATCAACTATGGAGAACTTCATTCCATAATGTGTAAGGTGTACAGCATCTGCATGAAGCTCAACTGTGCAGTCTTGCAAACTGTAAGACTTTTGTGAAGAAAACTGCAAACCAGCTCATTAGCAAATCTTGATGTGTACTTGACATTGTACATAAGTTTATTAAATTACTGTGTTATGAATTTTCAAGAATCAGGTAGACATATATTAGAAGACTGCATTAACACATCTTTACCACTATTGTGAAAATTGGAACATCCTCTTGGAAGCAATGCATGGTGTCCTACAGTACATATTATTAACTACTTTAAGTGTGGAACTGATAGTAGGAAATTTAGGCAATGCATTCATAGTTCTAGTGAACATCATGGACTGGGTAAAGAAGAAAAAGATATCTTTCATAGATCAGATCTTCACTGCGCTGGCAATTTCCAGAATTTGTTTGCTCTTGTCACTAATTGAAAGTTTTTTCATATCTGAACTGTATCCACCCTTAATAATAACTAGAGGAATTGTGAGACAAATTAGTATGTTCTGGACAGTAACCAATCATTTCAGCATTTGGCTTGCTACATGTCTCAGCATCTTTTATTTTCTCAAGATAGCTATTTTTTCAAGCTCTATTTTTCTTCACCTAAAGTGGAGAGTAAAAAGCACGGTTTCAGCGACACTGTTGACATCTCTGCTCTTCTTGTTTTTAAACATCTTAGTCATAAACACACATGTTGGTACCTTGGTTGATGGAATTGAAGCAAAGGCATTCTCCAGTGCTATCTTAAGTAACTCTACTCAATTTTCCAGAAATGTTTTACTCACCAACACTATATTTACACTCATTCCCTTCACTGTGACACTGACAATGTTTCTCCTGCTCATCTTCTCTCTGTGGAGACATCTGAAGAGCATGCAACACAGCATCAAAGGCTCCAGAGATGTCAGCTCCACAGCCCATGTAAAGGCCTTGCAAATGGTGGTCACCTTCCTGTTACTGTATGCTATTTTTTGTCTGTCCCTCCTTTTGGAGTTTTGTAGCTTTGAATTTCATCAGAAAAATGCAATTGCTATATTTTTCTGTGCCACTGGAATTGCTTTCCCTTCAGGCCACTCATACGTCATGATTCTGGGGAACAGTAAGCTTAGACGGACATTTCTTTCCATGGTGTGGTGGCTGAGGTACAGGCTCAGTGAGGTGGAGCCCTCAGGTTCCTAAAGCATAAGGTGGGCATCTTTTGCTTTTAGAGCAGCATCAGTCCTAAGAAATTATTTTTCTATAGAATTGTACTTTCTATACTTCCCTTGCAGCATTGTGAATTTGGCAAAATTTTGTGTAGATTAGGTACTAACCAAACTATGACAGCCCTGGAAAAAAATAAGGAAATATCTATATTGTTCTACAGGATAGATATGAAATATGGACTAAATAAATATATGAACACAGAATATTAGCGAAATATAATATTTCACCTAGAATTAACCACTTTGACATTTTAAAATGATTCCTGTTAATATGTAAAAAACATGTGTATGTATATATGTGGCCTGCATGTGTATGTATATATATGGATCCTATGAATATTTAGAAATAAATCCTTGAGACTATTACTAGGCTTGTTTTGCCAACATTTTTCCCTTCTAACATTGTTTATTTATTCATTGTAAAAATGCTGCGTGTATTTTCTATATATCTTTCAGAGACAATTTGATGGGGCCACACGTTATAAAATGTGGACATGTGTAATGGGTAGCTACTTGAAGGAAGATGGGATAGTGCTTATATATAGCTCATTGATATTTGAAATTTTCAGCTTATTTTGTTAATATTGTATGAATGAATTCATTTATTGAAAGAATGTTAAAGGACTGAATTAGGAAACAAGAAAATGCTGCAGTGGGTAGTTGTTTGTTATTCTGTTGCTTAGAAATAATAAAAGAAAATGTGTATATATTCAGTGCTGAGATAAATTGCTCTTATTTGTAAAATATCTCCAGTTGAATCAATTTTTCGACATGGATCCGATGAATGTGAAATACTAATAGTTGAAGATGAAGCTCAGGATAAAAGACAGATTAGGTAAGGGTCAAAGTATAAATTTCTTGGTGAAAATAAGTAAATAGAGTAACTATCATAAAAAAGTGAAATACAAATAGTATAATGGTAACATTTCAAGCACAATACAATCCACAGGGCAATAAAAATAAAAGCATACAGCACAATTTTCACTAAAAGCACAAATTTAAGAGAAATTGCACATTTTTAGTATCAATATTCGAGCCTGTCCAATGGTACTGGTGGATCAGAGAACACAGCATTCAACAGGCATTTTAAACACTACAAATAACTTCACACACAATACTTAAAATGCCTGTCTGTTAGTAGCTTTCACTTCAACAGACTAGATTAATTGTCAGACATAAACAGTAGAATTCTAGCTCAGTGATCATAGATAGCTGTTTTCTTGAATAGTGTCTTGTTCTCAGCTTTGGATTGCGTGCCTGTGTGTACTTCTTGACTGTATATAATGAGGCTATAAGACATTAATTATCAGCAGATGATTGTAGAGAAGAGGAATTTTCCAAGGCGATCCCAGAGACAACAAGACACTTTAAAAAGGAAAAAAGTCTTCCACCTGAATAAAATATATCTACTGAAATAAACTGATGTTGAAGGACTATTCATGATATCTCCTGAGGACTGAAGCTCTCCAATCCCTGCATTCACCACTTGTTTTTTTTTTCTAGCTTTGGAACATGACCTGGCACTTGCTCCATAGAGCAGGCTGGCCTAGGATTCACATAGATCTGCCTGCTGCTGACTCCCAAGTGCTGGAATTAAAGGCACATTCCACCACCACCTGGCATACACTAATTTTTTTTTAACTTTGTAACTTTAAAACTTTTTCTTTGCTGCCTGAAATCCATACTACATGCACTCAAATTTCATAGAGGCTAGACAAGAGGAAAAGCTTGCAAAATAGTGAAACAGAGTATGCCTTTATTTGCATGCTAGTAAATGAGAAATCAGCCTAACTTCAGCATTAGCAGTTGCAGACTAGAGCTTTCAGTGAAGGTGTACAGTGCATGGTTAGAGATGTTTGGGGATAATACATTTTTTTCTGTGAAATCAGCCTTGAACTTGTGGTTTGTCTTAGTTGATGTTGCTTTCCTTCTTAACATTGTCTACAGTATAGAAAAGTCAATAGAACATTATTCATACTGAAATGTCTTGGTGTGTGTGTGTGTGTGTGTGTGTGTGTGTGTATGTTTAACAAAAATTATGAAGAAAATGGGTTATGAACTTGAAAGAGAACAAGGAAAGGTATATGGGAGAGTTCAGAGAGAGGAAAAGGGAAGGAGAAATGCAATAAATATACTAAAACCTCAAAGGTAAATGAAAAAAATGAATAAAAAGGCACTGAACTTCACTGCCCACCTAGAAACTGGGTATTGCTAGAATATATTGTCAGGAAATTATCAATTATAACCAGTAACATAGGCTTAGTTTATACTTTTCCCCTGACTCAAGGTTATTACTGAGCATATTTTCCATCCAGTTAGTGGGAGAATTTGGTTTTGGAAAATCTGCCAATGTCTTCATAGTATTCAAAAATGACTTGGATTTTAGAAAAATAAGTCCCTGGTGATAGAATTGTTACTCTTTGGGCCATCTCCAGAATTGCTTCCTTAGGGCAAGTTAACACACTGTATTCAACTGTAGTTCTTCTGGGTTCAAATAATGAACAAGTGAAGAAGGGTGTCCTTGTAGCCCATGGTGGAAGTAACCCTTGTAACACCTGGTGTGCTAATAGCCTCAGCTTGCTTTGTTTGTTCAAGACGGCCAAATTCTTCAATCCTTCATCTCTCTACCTAAAAAGGAGGGATAACAATTTGCTCTGACGACATACAGGAAATTTTGGTTTTGCCTTTTCTTTGAATCTTTTATTTTAAGAATATTTTTATTAATTCTTTGAAAATTTAATGCAGTGTACATTGAACATGTTAGCTTACTCCTCCAGCTGCACCCATAACTGTCCTCTCCACTGTGCTCTATTTTGACACCCAAACTTTAATTTCTCTTTACCCCCACACACAGAGTCCACTTTTTGTTGCTAAAGTAGTGTGAGAAGGGGTCTGCCCCCTTTCATGGTTGAGCCATCAACATCACAAAAGAAAACTACTGACTCTTCTTCTCCCAGCAGGCATCAATGCCTGCAGCTTCTCAGTTGGAGGTGGTATCTTGTGGCCACCTACCTCCCTCTGTGTTGGAATTTTTTTCTGGCTTGAGCTTGTTCAGATTTTGCGCAAGTTGTTACAATTGCTGTGAGTTCATGTATGCATTTGTCCTGACATATCAGTTTTCTTTCTGTCATTCTCTATTTCTGTCTTTTACAATTTTCCCTTGTCCCCTTCCGTGAAAATCCCCTAGGCTTTAGGGGAAGCCTGTGCTTAATTTAGAGCTGAGAAATCCACAGTCTTTTGTTCTTTACATATTGGCTGGTAAGGCTCTCTGTATTCATTGCCTTTACTGCAAGGAGAAGCTTCTCTGATGGGGATTGAGATATGCTGTGATCTAAGGATATGGCAACAAGTCATTAGAAGTCTTTAAATTTATTTGGTAGGTCTTTGAACATTTAATACAACATATTTTGATCATTTTCACCTCTCTCCAGTTCTTTTCGAACCTCCATACCCTCTATTCACCCATCTTTATATTCTTCTTCCTTTCTGAGGGAATAATCTATCATATTTCTCTTGAGATGAAATATGTGGGGACTATTCTTGGTGCTGTTGTTATCTTGTCTGAGTAAGTCTGGCAGTCCTAGGAACTGCTGTTTATGTGGAACCCTACTGGTCATGCATACCAAAAGATGGAGAGAAGCTCAGGGACACTCATTAGGGTGGTACATGTTGCTACCTCCTAGTAGGCACAAGTTCTCTCACTTTTAAAAAGACCTTGTAGGTCAGGTAGCAGCACCCTCTCCATACTGCCCCACCCTCAGAATGCTTTGCATTTTCCTTCTACTCCTTTCTATTTTTTTTTTTTTTTGTTGTTGTTGTTGTATGAAAGGAGCCAGGTCAGGAGGACATTTCTGTCTCTGAAATGATGGTATGCTTACACTTCTGTTCATAATACCTTCCCTTAAAACTTTTCACATGACTACATACTTTATCTTCCCCGGTCTTTGTCTTTATTTGTTCTTTAACTGTTCTTTAATTGTGGGGGCATTTGCTCCAGGGGAATGAGGCTGTGCTTCATTTTCCACACTGGAGTACCTCATGTCTTGCCTGTAACTTATAAAGGTTTTGTTTTAAACTATGTCTTATTTTTACCCCAGGCTTGTTTGGATTAGTTATCTTCATGCATCTATCTCTTCACTGTTAGGTTAAGTTTACCACTGTCTACCACCATACCAATTTTACTGTTGCCTTTGACACCTATTTTTCTGCTGTTTTTGCTGTTTCTATTTGCTTTGAGTCATTGATTCTTTGACTACCCTTGATTCCTGAGGAAATTTAATGCCATGCTTCATTTCCTGCTTCTTTAGGTCATGTATCATCCTCCATGAATATGATGTTGGTAATGGAGCAGATATTGCTGCAAAGAGGAGACAGATGATTATATCTGAATGTCCTAGTTGATAAGAGTGGCAAATGTACTAACAAAGGGAGATACAACAAATAGGAAAGATCCTTGGTGTGTATATAAATTCATTGAAATTTTTTGTTTGGTAGTATGATAGGACAATCTCCAAATGTGCACATGTACAGACATGAAAGAAACACAATTTTAGAGAATATTTATGCTTTTATTACTCTGAAACTACTTTATATAGCATCTTGACAACTACAGCAGTATAATCATGAGTTATATGCACAAAACCACTAATGTTAAAACATTTTTTTAATGGAGAGTCAACGGCATTTGTATGCTTTTCTTCTAGTGGGTAGCAGTGTGTGTGCATGCATGACTCTGTAAAAAGTAAGGCGATTATTATTCTTAGTACAGAATATCTGAGCGACAATGATACCTATGAGACTTTTTGGCAATTCTGATAGCTTGCTGTAAGAACCTTTGGAAACATTCATAGTTCTCTGGACAAATATCATTTTGATGTATTTAATATTGTTTTTCTTCTATATGTCCATCTGGATTTGATTTCCAGCTATGAGTTACAATTCTCTTGCATTATGTGATCTAGAAATAAAATATTCAGACTAAAGTATGCATAAAGAAAAATTTGCAAAAACAATACATATAAGTACATCTTTATTTTGATGATAGCACAGTGTTTCTTCCACAGCTACAAAAAGAGACCCCAGGGTGCCCTGTGTAAGGCACATAATATCTGGATGAAGTCTAGCTTAGCTGCCTTGGAAATTGTAAAATGTTGTACAGAAAACTGTGAACCAAATTATTAGTGAATCTTTATTTGATTGAAACTGTATATAGGTGCTCATGACAGTGAATACTTTGAGGGTTCAAGAATTTCATAGCACTTTAGAAGACTAATTAATGCATCTTCAACAGTGTATCATGAACTGAAGCATCCTTCTAGTGACAATGAGTTATATCCTACATGCCACATTAACATTTATTTTAAGTGTGGAATTCATAATAGGAAATTTAGGAAATGTGTTCATGGCACTGGTGAACATTATGGACTTGGTCAAGAGAAGAAAGATCTCTTCAGTGGATCAGATTCTCACTGGTCTGGCCATCTCCAGAATCGGTCTGTTCTGGTCATTAGCTGCAAGTTTATTGGTTTCATCCATCTACACAACTTTAATGATACCTGGAAAATTGATGAGAACTATCAACATTTTTTGGACAGTGACCAATCATTTCAGCGTCTGGCTTGCTACATGTCTCAGCATCTTTTATTTTCTCAAGATAGCTAATTTTTCAAACTATATTTTTCTTTATCTCAAGTGGAGAGTAAAAAAAGTGGTATCATTGACACTGCTGGTATCTTTGCTCATCTTGTTTGTAAACACTTTAGTCATAAACAGATGTGTTGATATTTGGATTGATGGACATGAAGCAAATATGTCCTACAGTGCTATCTCTAGTAACTCTGTTCAGTTTTCTAGACTCATTTTACTTGTTAACACTATGTTTACAGTCATTCCCTTCACTGTGACCCTGACAATGTTTCTCCTCCTCATCTTCTCCCTGTGGAGACATCTGAAGAACATGCAGCTCCATGCCAAAGGTTCCAGAGATGCCAGCACCACAGCCCACGTAAAGGCCTTGCAAACTGTGGTTGCCTTCCTGTTACTGTACACAGCTTTCTTTCTGTCTCTTCTTTCACTATGTTGGAATGTTGACTTTAAGCATAAAAGTCTCATAGTTTTGTTTTTACTGTCAATGGGACTGGCTTTTCCCTCGGCCCATTCATGTGTCCTGATTCTAGAGAACAGGAAGCTGAGTCAATCCTTGCTTTCTGTGCTGAGGTGGCTGAAGTGCAGGCTCAAAGATCCAAAACGGTCTGCTCCCTAAAGCATATTGGGGATCAGCTAATTACTCTAGAAAAAAATCAGTGGATAGTTCTCATGTGTTGGGAATGGTAAGGGTGGAGATACTCTTTCAAGCAAAGGGTTTGCTAGAGATGCAGATAGTATTGAGGTATCTATTATGATGAGAGACACTGCAAGCCAGTCTAAAATGTGGCTAACATCCATGTCAGCAAGTAAGGAATCGGGAAAGCATTGTATCTTGCATGTGTGCACCTGGGATTAGCTGACACCATCTAACTCACTAGACAGGAATATTATCCTTTTCTGTATTTCTGGCTGAGTAGGTATGATAGAATGACACTGCTAGAAAAAGGATCTAAGAATATCAGTATGTGATGTAACAGTTGCTATTTGTTTGGCCTGCACCTCTTCTAGGGTGTTACTAATGGTCAATTCCAAGGACATGGGGTGAACTGGGCTCTTATGAGAGCTGCGAGGAGAGAAAGAAAGCCTGCATGCTGTAGTTCCCACATCTGCTAATCAGCAGCACTGAAAGGGAATAGAGTCTGCAGTGGGTGTGGGGCATAAAATAAGGAAGTCTTTTATGCATAAACTTGCACTTTCAAAATTGTTCAGGTGTGTGTAACATTAGGATTTAGAAGATTCTGGGTAGATTAAGCACACATCACAGCTCTGCAGAAAAGATGCAAGCATGTGCATTGCTACACAAAGACATGAATTTGAACCACTTAAACATAAGTACTGGAATCATTATTTTATTTTATTTTAAAAGTTTTACTAAACTTTTAAAGATTTAAAAATGATCAATGAATAACATGTGAGATATGTATCTTTAGTGAAGCTCTAAAAATGGAAAACTGTAATTGTGTCAATATATGGATAATGTTTATTTTCTAAAATGTCACATAATAAAGTATAAAATATAGTCTCAGACATAAGATGAATTTAATTCATTTTTTTCAGAATTTAAAAACCTTAAAAAAGAAATTCTGAACCAGTGAGTAATCACTTTTACCTTTCAAAGTATTTCCTTCCACTTTCAAGAGGTTCTGAGGATGGAATTTATTCCAAAAAATTTTTCTGTCATCTTCATACACATGTACCAGTAGAGCTGTGAGTGGCAAACATGCACGCACACACACACACACACACACACACACACACACATACACACACACACAACCCAATTGAAAAATAAAAATACTTTCAGTTTATCCTGTTTCCTGTGTATATTATTTAACTTAGTAATCAAGAATTCTTAAAGCATGTTTTTCACTGGGAAATGCATTGCAATTTTCTATGTATGTATCATAATACATTTTAGTTTTTATGCTCATAAATGCCAAGTGTGCCTATGATAGTGTCTTTGTCAAATATCATGGTAGGAATTTGGTGGTAGTATTTTATTTTATATAATCATGTACTGAATTTTTCTCAGGTGGCAAAAAACAAGTTAGCATAAGCATGAAAATTTAGACTAATATAGAAGTGACTAACATTTAACTAACACAAACTTTGTTGTACATGTATAAGTATAGAAATGTAGGCAAAATATACACAAACTTAATCAAATAGGTGAATTATTTAAAATAATTTGGGTCAGAGAAGGGAAGTTTAGATTGCTTAGCATGCCTGAGTGGTCACATGCCTTTTGCTGCAAGCCCTTAGTAAGGGACCATTGAGAATTTTTAGAAAATGTGAGATTGTTTCTTCAATGCTTATTTTGACACAAAAGTACCTTTAGACTCCTAAGTTTATGTTTGGCCTAGATTTTATCTTCAGTAAAACTTTTTAAACCTATAAATTTAAAAAAATGTGAATGTATTTCGTGTGTGTGTGTGTGTGTGTGTGTGTGTGTGTGTGTGTGTGTGTATGTGTTTGGAGATAATTGTAGAAACAGATGATTTCAAATGAGAATTGAGTCATAGGCATCTACCAAAGGAAGATGTTATATTTGTTTTTTGTTTGTTTGTTTTTTGCTTTATGAGACAGGGTTTCTCTGTATTGTTTTGGAGGCCGGTGGACCAGCCCGGCCTCGAACTCACAGAGATCTGCCTGCCTCTGCCTCCCGAGTGCTGGGATTAAAGGCGTGCGCCACCACTGACCGGCTAAGATGTTATATTGTTAATTTACAGATCATTTGTCATTCACAATGGCGGAATGCTGCTTCTCTTGTATAGAAACCAACTTTCCTTGGAGTTAATTAGAGCAATAATCTTTACAGTGGGAGGCTGTCACACAAATTCAGATGAAGTATCTAGGAGAAGAAGCTGCTCACAGTAATAGCTGAAATCTGGTGGGAAAAACACAGAAAAGAATGATAAATCTTTGTGCTTGACTTATGCCTCCTGGTTTCTTTCTGTGATACTTAATAACTTAATTTTGTACGGAAAGCTTAGGTATGACTTTTGTTGGATACATTGGTATCTGTGTTGTTATTTTTCTTATTTCTGTGACAAAATGCCTGGCAAAAGCAATTTGAGGAAGAAATGAGAACTTGTTTTGACTGACATTTTGAAGGTACACCTTATCATGGCAGGGAAGGCATGACTATGGGACAGACAGGGAACTGGTCACGTTGTATGCATAGCCAGGAAGCAGAGATAAATGCTGGTGCTTTGCTTGCCTTCTCATTTTCTAGGTCAGGAACTAGAATCATGGATATTGTGACTCACAGTGAGAGTGAGATTCCCTACCTCAGGTAACCTGAGGTAAAATGCCTCGCTTACACATGCCCCGAGATTTGTCTCCTGGGTGATTTCTAGATCCTGCCAAGAGGGCGGTTACTATCAACCTTCTCAGAAATGCTTGTTGAGTAAAGTAGGATACGAATTTTGTGCCTAAAGCTTGTTCTCTTGTCTTTTGTGGATACACAATAATACCACCTGCAAATAATTATTCTTGTGGCTTATTTAGCTAAATAATACTCTTAAGTACGTATCCTTTTTGTTTGGTTTATGGTATGAAATGGCTTAAACATGCAAAGTGGGCTGGGCAGTGGTGGCGCACGCCTTTAATCCCAGCACTCGGGAGGCAGAGGCAGGCGGATCTCTGTGAGTTCGAGGCCAGGCTGGACCGATAGCCTCCGAAACAATACAGAGAAACCTTGTCTCGTAAAAACCAAAAAAAAAAAAAAAACATGCAAAGTGTTAAGTATTTGTATGCAGTTGATAAGAGAGGGAACTGCTTCAACTGTCTGCAGGATGTTCAGAGAGCTGCAGTGATGCAACTTCTATGAGTTGTCAACACCCAGGTGGGTGGTGGGTGGACTTTCAGGGATGAAACTGCCCTTATGACTCCATGCTCTTGTAAGTAACCCTCACCCATGTCCCTGCAAGTAATCCAAAAAACTTCAATGGTTCATTGAACTGGACTTGAATGGAGTTGTTTCTTTGTTCTGTTGTGGGTGCCCCTTCCCTGGAGTAAATAGGCATCAGTTGATATCTCACTAGGAAAAGTCAGATAAGAAGTTATATTACACAGCATTAAGACCACCAAGGTAAAAGTCAAATTCAAAAAAATGTCTAAAAGTTATAGTCGTAGAAAGAATATTCACATGAGAAATCTTTTTAGAAAGTTGCATACTGGAAGGAAAACTGACTGATACTCCTAAAGTGCTGAAGACTGTAACTGTAAACTTAATTTGTAAACAAAATTTGGTCTTATGCATTTAGCTACGTAGTGTCATTGCATATTAAAAACACAAAAAGATCAGTATTATTTAATGCATACCTTCTACTTGTGAATAATATTAGTGGATGGGGCACAGGAAGAATATAAGAGACAATTTGCTAGTTCTGAAACTGTATATTTCTCAAATTGCTGATATCCTAAGGTATAAATAATACCATAGAGTGAAACTGTAATCTAATAGGATCAGTGTCTGTCCACATGATAAGGGGGTAGACAGGAGGAGTAGGTAGACATAGAAGCAGGTGTGGTAGCTCACAGAAGAAGGACCCGTGGAAAGGTGATTTGCACACCCCAGCAGGGTAGTCATTGCCATGACACAAAACCAGTAGAAACTTAACCTTGTACTTCAGCCACCTGTCTGTCACTTAACAAATCTACTATGTATTAGTTTTTAAGTGGATGCTTAAGAAGAAGAGGGAAAGTGAAATATCCATTTAATAGGATGTACATATGCTGAGAAAATAAGTCTTAACTTTGTGCAATTGGCAACATAGTTGATATTTTATAATTAAAACAATTGATGTTAAATTGTCTACAATCAGGTTTACATTTTTTTACCTTTTTAAAGAATGTTTATATACTTTTAAAATATATGTCCCTTCACATCTTCCCTCTGCTCCTACCTCAAACAAAACAAAATTAGAGAGAAGAAAGGAAGAAAATAAATGAAAAAAAAATAAAAATAGGGAAACAATAAAAAATTGTCATGGAAGCTACAGTGGAACTCAACAAGTTCACATGTCATACTCCTTTGTTCATACATCTCTACTTGAAATATTCATTGCAAAGAGTCATTGGTCTGGTTCAAGACCCCTGGTCTGCACTACACAATCAATGCTGGAAACTCTCTAGGACTGTTTCAGAACATCCCACTGCCACCCTCTGTTGTGGAGATCCTGAATCTTTGGGTCTAGGTCAGGTCCTTTCACGTGTTCCAGCAAATCTTAGTTGGTTGGATGTTGGGGCAGGCCAAGTCATAACCCTGGATCTGGGCCTGGGAACTTGTAGGGCTGGTCTATCAGACGGGAGATGGGGAAAGCTTTCCCAGGCCTCTGTTAGCAGGTTGGCTCTATTGTGCTGCTCTGATGAGATACAGGGCCTGCTCTCCGAATATTGCAGCTGGTGGGGGTCAAGGATGGCTCTCCCATTCTTAGGATCACAGTGTCAGCTCTCCCAGCAGCCATCTCTAACTTCACTTCCAGATGGGCCAATGTCCCCTTCTGACCTCCTTTAGTAACAGGCATGAATACATACATGCTGCAAAATACTCATACACTGAAAATAAATATACCTAAAAATTAAAAATATCATAAATGAGTCAGAATTTAT